GGGAGGAATAAATATATATATATTAGACCATAGAGTATATATGTCTATGTATTTATTTATGTCCATGTATTGGACATTATAACAATTAAATTACGAAACAAATAAATGGATCGAAGTTGTGAAATGAAAATATAGGCCTATGTATTAAAATTGCATTGAATCCGAAGATTAAGGATGAGTGCAGTCAAGGGCGGACTGGCTATAGGGGCAACCGGGCAAATGGCCGGTGGGGGGTGTCGAAGGGGCCACATTAAATGTCTTGTCCTGTAACCGTGATTGGTCTCGCCTCACCTATTATAAAAGATCTTTCCATACCTTACTGTGTTATACTATATACATGTATTACAGTATATACTAGCCACATTCCGAAATAATGGATTCGTTTCTACCCGTAACTTTGGATTCTAATAGTTACAATTCTCTGTACACACTAAGAGATTTAAAAACAACATAAGACCTTCACCTACCTTTACATATCCCTTAGTCAGTTGAACCGTTGGGGCACCACACAAGATCCATTTAAGGTTTTCTCCATTCCTCTCTGTCTTTTGCCTTGGGTATGATTTCATTTAGTGACAAGCCTGTCTATTCTGTTATATCGTCTTCCCATCTCTTTCTCTGTCTGCCTTTTCTTTTTTCTTGATAGTGTTCCCTGAAGGAAGGTCTTTGTGAGCCGTGAGGACCTTGTGATGTGGCCATGTTTCTTGATTTTTTAGCTACGAAGTAATTGATAAATCACAAATATTATTTAAACAGTTAAACATGCAAGTAAATAGAAATCGAAAGCAAAGAGATGCAGAAAAATTACTAACACTTCAGGAACGTTGCTGAGTCTCATGATAACTTTCAAGAGTCCATTTACTCATTGAGATCATGCCAGACGACGTAGAAACACGCAATGCACAAAGATGCAGATTTAAACAGATAGAAATACAATACGTAGATACACTCAATGCACAAAGATGCAGACTTAAACAGATAGAAATACAATACGTAGATACACTCAATGCACAAAGATGCAGACTTAAACAGGTAGAAATACAATACGTAGATACACTCAATGCACAAAGATGCAGACTTAAACATGTAGAAATACAATACGTAGATACACTCAATGCACAAAGATGCAGACTTAAACAGGTAGAAATACAATACGTAGAAACACTCAATGCACAAAGATGCAGACTTAAACAGGTAGAAATACAATACGTAGATACACTCAATGCACAAAGATGCAGACTTAAACAGGTAGAAATACAATACGTAGATACACTCAATGCACAAAGATGCAGACTTAAACATGTAGAAATACAATATGTAGATACACTCAATGCACAAAGATGCAGACTTAAACAGGTAGAAATACAATACGTAGATACACTCAATGCACAAAGATGCAGACTTAAACAGGTAGAAATACAATACGTAGATACACTCAATGCACAAAGATGCAGACTTAAACAGGTAGAAATACAATACGTAGAATCACTCAATACACAAAGATGCAGACTTAAACATGTAGAAATACAATACGCAGATACACTCAATGCACAAAGATGCAGACTTAAACATGTAGAAATACAATACGTAGATACACTCAATGCACAAAGATGCAGACTTAAACATGTAGAAATACAATACGCAGATACACTCAATGCACAAAGATGCAGACTTAAACATGTAGAAATACAATACGTAGAAACACTCAATGCACAAAGATGCAGACTTAAACATGTAGAAATACAATACGCAGATACACTCAATGCACAAAGATGCAGACTTAAACATGTAGAAATACAATACGTAGAAACACTCAATGCACAAAGATGCAGACTTAAACATGTAGAAATACAATACGTAGATACACTCAATGCACAAAGATGCAGACTTAAACATGTAGAAATACAATACGTAGATACACTCAATGCACAAAGATGCAGACTTAAACATGTAGAAATTCAATACGTAGATACACTCAATGCACAAAGATGCAGACTTAAACATGTAGAAATACAATACGCAGATACACTCAATGCACAAAGATGCAGACTTAAACATGTAGAAATACAATACGTAGAAACACTCAATGCACAAAGATGCAGACTTAAACATGTAGAAATACAATACGCAGATACACTCAATGCACAAAGATGCAGACTTAAACATGTAGAAATACAATACGTAGAAACACTCAATGCACAAAGATGCAGACTTAAACATGTAGAAATACAATACGTAGATACACTCAATGCACAAAGATGCAGACTTAAACATGTAGAAATACAATACGTAGATACACTCAATGCACAAAGATGCAGACTTAAACATGTAGAAATTCAATACGTAGATACACTCAATGCACAAAGATGCAGACTTAAACATGTAGAAATACAATACGTAGAATCACTCAATGCACAAAGATGCAGACTTAAACATGTAGAAATACAATACGTAGATACACTCAATGCACAAAGATGCAGACTTAAACATGTAGAAATACAATACGTAGATACACTCAATGCACAAAGATGCAGACTTAAACATGTAGAAATACAATACGTAGATACACTCAATGCACAAAGATGCAGACTTAAACAGGTAGAAATACAATACGTAGATACACTCAATGCACAAAGATGCAGACTTAAACATGTAGAAATACAATACGTAGAAACACTCAATGCACAAAGATGCAGACTTAAACAGGTAGAAATACAATACGTAGGTACACTCAATGCACAAAGATGCAGACTTAAACAGGTAGAAATACAATACGTAGAAACACTCAATGCACAAAGATGCAGACTTAAACAGGTAGAAATACAATACGTAGATACACTCAATGCACAAAGATGCAGACTTAAATAGGTAGAAATACAATACGTAGAAACACTCAATGCACAAAGATGCAGACTTAAACAGGTAGAAATACAATACGTAGAAACACTCAATGCACAAAGATGTAGATTTAAACATGTAGAAATACAATACGTAGATACACTCAATGCACAAAGATGCAAACTTAAACAGGTAGAAATACAATACGTAGATACACTCAATGCACAAAGATGCAGACTTAAACATGTAGAAATACAATACGTAGAAACACTCAATGCACAAAGATGCAGACTTAAACAGGTAGAAATACAAGACGTTATTGAAACCCACGTTTGCATACATGCGTTCAGTTTTAAGCATATCATATGCAATCAGGTTCTGGGCCGAATCGTATGGGACGATTTTGACATCCTGTCAGCCCCTGAGTGCAGTGTTTCATATGACTACGCAAATCCAGTTGCAACCTGCCTGCATATTTTTCCGCATCTCGTGCAGACAAAGCCCTTGTCCGCTGGGGACTTTAAAGTTTTCTTTCGTCTTCTGCGCCTGTTATCAATAAGAGCTTTACTTTGGGTTTAAAATGTATGTCCCGCAGTCTTTGTGAAAGCTCTCCAACTGTTTCTTTGAGAGGCCATCTGCTGCCAGCTACTTCCCTCTGTGCGAAATGGCACATGAGTTGATCTTAATAGCGTTTACCGGGAGCACCTTTGTTATACCGTCCTCCTTTAAACTTGCTTAAGAAGATCGGCTTTGGCATGCAGTCGTCTCCCATGCGGGATAATTGTCCGACCCAAGCAGCTGTCGAATGTTAATTAGTACATCTATACTGACCACACCAGCCTCCAGCACAACATAGTTATTTGTAGTGCAGTCTTGCCAGCGTGTGCCCATTATGGAGCGAGTACACCTTTGATGGAAGTGTTGGAGGAAAATTAAATGCCTTCGATAGAGCCCCCAGGTGAGTCATACAAAAGTGTGGTGAGAACCACTGCTTTATAAACAGTGACATTTGTCGCTGCTTGAAGCCTCAGCCGCATGAACGGCTATCTGAAGCTCCTGTTCGGTGTGTTCGCATAGAGCAGCAATTAACTCAATATTTGTTTGTACGGGAGAGCAAACGCCGCATGTTAAATATGCTGCCCTCGGCGCGGAACCCATGTAGATACCCTCAAGCAGGCGTCGCCTCATTTGATTGATTGTATTCAGACAGGCAGTGGTGCAAGTTGCTACCAGTTCTTGTATTATATTGGACATGTCACCTGTAAAGTGCCAAATCCGGCATGACAAAAATAATGAACTGCTTGTAGAACTAATCAGTTCAATGAATGATACTATTTTACTGTGGTAACATGTAAATGTGAGCTAATTGTTTTAAAATAGCCTCGACTGAATACCAGACTTGTCTATTGGCTGGCCTATACACACATTTCTATCGGCCTAAAACGTTCCTAGGTTATTAGGATTATTCATCAAAAGTCTTGGATTAATATCGAGAGGAAAATTAATCCTACTTTTATTTCTTCAATTTTGTTTCCGAGTAGAAAAAAAAAGTGAAACCCCTTGATAATGAGATAATGTCCAAGATCTAAGAAGTACTACACAGACTTCATCACGTGCACTTAGAAATGTAAAGGTCAACTAGCACAGAACTTTAGACTTTTTTTCTGCAGGAAAATTTTCAGTATTTTCTAGACTAAGATAAAAAAACAAACAACTTTGTATCCACTAGGAGAGGTGGTTGTGTATTTTACACTAAGATGGCACGATTAATTAAATTTAAACAATGACCAGTCTCCCTAACATCACTCACAGCTCAAGGAGCACAGGATAAGAGATTCGGGCTCTCTTTTACAATTACAGGCTAGAAAAAAAAATGTTCTTGCTCAACATACACGTGCAGTTCATGCCAAAGTCTTGGACGGACTCACGCAAGGCAGAGTTCAAGCTTTTAGTTCCTCTCAATTTTGATACTCGTGGGTGACTATTTGTATTCTTACCAGACAATTTAATCAATATGGCTATGATATGCTAATACTTTTTTTAAAAATATATATGCATAATTTAGTATAACATACTAAAATTTAGATAAATTCTAAAGGTATGCCAAATTATGAGTCAATAGGGTACTGATTCCATACTTCACAACAATAACACAACACCATCTCTAAGTGTAAATCATTTAATTTTCTTCCTATACAAGCAAAAAACAAGTTGAATACAAAAAAAAATTCTCAAAATGTATAAAGACTCCAAAAATTAAATAACTCAGAATAAAACTTGTTAAGAGTGAAGTAGTTTGTTTGGGTTCCTATAAAAACTTAGGACTACATAGACACATTTTTCTGTATACAATAATGATAGAAAACAACATATAAGACTTGGTATAGCTGTCTATAGGGCCTTAGGGGGCAAGTTCCACAAGTGATTGTCTGAATAGAACCAAAAGTTGCAAAAATGTCCATCACTTTAATGTGTGACTATTTTCAGATAAGGTTTTTAAAACACTTAGCCTATTTAGAAACACATCTAGATCTAGTGTTACAGTGTAGTACTAGTACATTTTCCATGTAGGGCCCAGTCTATTTTGAAACACTCACATCTAGATCTAGTGTTGCAGTGTAGTACTAGTACATTTTCCAAGTAGGGCCCAGCCTATTTAGAAACAGTCACATCTAGATCTAGTGTTACAGTGTAGTACTAGTACATTTTCCAAGTAGGGCCCAGCCTATTTTGAAACACTCACATCTAGATCTAGTGTTACAGTGTAGAACTAGTACATTTTCCATGTAGGGCCCACCCTTTTTTGAAACACTCACATCTAGATCTAGTGTTGCAGTGTAGTACTAGTACATTTTCCATGTAGGGTCCAGCCTTTTTAGAAACACTCACATCTAGATCTAGTGTTACAGTGTAGTACTAGTACATTCTTCATGTAGGGCCCAGCATATTTAGAAACACTCACATCTAGATCTAGAGTTACAGTGTAGTAGGAGTACATTTTCCATGTAGGGCCCAGCCTATTTTGAAACACTCACATCTAGATCTAGAGTTACAGTGTATTACTATTACATTTTTCATGTAGGGCCCCTAAGGTCAAATGTTTACAATTATGTAAGCATAAAGCATGTTAAAAAAAAAGATTATAAGTTTTAGATGTAACTGTTGATATTTGAGTTTGTATTACAGTACTAGTGTAGTAAAAAAAGGACTAAATAATTTGACCCATTGGCCCAACTTGACTAACCACCAGTCAGTATAAAATACAAATACAATAATTTAGGCAACATAGAGCAATTGTGGTGGTAGGGGAAATAATTATATCTAAAGTAAATACCAATACATTATGCACAGTTATATTTTCATACATTTGTACATGAACATTTTGTTTTTAAACACTCAACAAACATAACTGTGAAATAATAACATTATAAACATCTAAATAAAGCAGAGACTTTGACTACAGGGAAATAGTTTGGCTTGAAAGAAGATCATGTTTGATGATATTGTACTGCATGGTGACACTGCAGACATTAGTAAATACTTGTACATTGAAATCTTAGAATGCTAAGAAGTTGAATAGTAAAGTTGCCACATCAGTGGAGATGAATGAAATTTGACAATTGAACTTCAGGAATACTTGATATACTTTTATATTAACTCAATACAAGTGCTATATGATATTCTGCCAATCGAAATTTTTTTTTTTTTTCATTTTATTTTGGTTGCTATAAAATATCTATATTTCCCGTAAACAGTCCTGAGTTTGTATTTATTGATAAATAAAGTAGAAAGTAATCCTTATATATGCTCGAAATATTTTTGAAAAGTCTAGGGTGGCCATGAAAATGTGGCAGCACTTTAAACAATTGATATATCTTTCACATCTAATAGATAAATATGGAATCTGTGTTACCCAAATGAATATACAAAAATATTCAAACATATGAAATAAATAAATCTTTGATCATCACTGGCATACAATAAAATCAACAGTTTTGTTAGAAAACACTCACACATATTAGCAAGCAACCTAAGACAATTACATCTGAAATATCATTATGGTTAAACTCAGATGAAGGCTATTTCATATTTGAAATAAAAAATAAATTAAAAAAATGTCAAGACGTTTAGCACAACAGTGAAACAAGCATTAAAAGTGACTCATTAAGTTCTAGCTTTGCGGTTGACTTTCTCATAAATCTCAGGGAATGCCTTTGCACAGTCCAATTGTTTTCTCATTTTGTCATAGAGTGAGTGGTCAAACATGCTGCGAAACTGTTCATGGGTTAGGTAGGAATCAGCATAGAGCATCTGAAAACTGGAACAATAAGTCATTAGGTTATTACACCTACTGCAGTAAATAGGGGGGGGGGGGGGGGGGGGAGGAGGATGTGACAAAAGTAATGTACACATTTTGTTCATCTTTATCCTTAAGTTCAATTGGGCCTGTATAAACTCTTTCTCTCCTAAGCGACAATAATAGCGGCGATTTTTTAAGTAAAAGCCGATTAAGTGACAATATTGTCATCAGTGCAGTTAAACATCTTTGTTTCGTTCCTATCTATTCTATTTTCTATTCACTTTTTAATAAGTCTCCAGACTTACATTTTAACATGTTTCAGAATACAAATTGCTTTAAGTGTAAGTCATGATAAAATTACCCTTGGTGAAAATGTTTAAACCATACACTTTTATAAGAAGGCATAGTTGGGCCTTTGAAGTAGAATCAAAACCATTGCTACATCATCTATTCATAGGTATGAGGGACATTTTAATGTAAAATTCAAGGATTTGAAGCACAAATACCTCTATACAAATACAATACATTGTAACATTATACACAGTATTAATTAATGATAAATACTTTCTTCTGCATTATAAAAACAAAAAACAATACAAGTTAGTTACCCATCATGTTTAGCTACAAAATCTTCCAGTCGCTTTGTAGATGGAATAGTAGAGAAACCTGGAGCCTTGGGGGTGCCATAGGCACCTATGTCCATATACATTTCATTCACATTGTGCTTTGGGTGGACCAGTCCAGGCTGGTGGAAAAGTTTGAATGGACATAGCCACAAAGGATAAAGCTGAAAACAAAAACAAGTTGCAATGAACAGCCTGATAACATATGGTGAAGTCAAAGCTGACTAAATACACAACCAGAAAGGAAACAATGGTAATAGAATTGACAGACATATTACTTGATTTCTTTCCAATGTTTTTTTTTTATAGAATCTTATCAAGCAACTATTTTTAAAGGATTTTTTTTAAACTGCTGTACAGCCTATTAGATAAATATCAGTTCACATGTGACACAATAACCTTTTTAATTCTAATGGACACTTCTTTTCTTTGCGTTAGGGTCTCTGGATAATAACCCACCACTTGTGCCTATTTGTAAGTCCAACTTACATTGAGTTCTTGATGAAAAAAGTCCAACGAGTCAGCTAGGGTGCTAACAGGCACCAACATGTCCTGGAATACCTGGTACTTCTCATACATCTCTTTCACAGTCTCTCCCTGAGTAAGCTTCAATAGTGAGATCTTGGGGGGCACCATCCACCCAAAAAGGTATCTGAACACAACATTGTTACCAAAGGGAATAATGTCCTGTGGATCAAATGACATAACATAACATAATGACTTAAAATTATGATGAATGATAGATATAGATCGTAGACCTGTTTAATGGCAAAGACAATTTTTTTTTTAATCATAGTGACTGGACTATTGGCCAATACAAGACTTTGACTATCACATGCTAGTTTACATGCAACAAGGTCAGGTACTAACATATTTGAACATCTGATTTTTATAAAAATTAACATTACCTCTAATGTCCAAAAGATACTTCTAGTGTGTCTGTGATAGTAGTGTCTCAAAGGGATGTACTCTGTAAACTTTCCGTTACTTAATGCACCTTGGACATGTTTGTAGAACCAAGGTTTCCAGTAGTTGCCAATAGCATTGATCTGTCAGAGAACATAATAAGTTGAGGTTTATTCAGAAATATTATTGAAAAGCTTTAATATTTAATCAGTAACTCATAAAATGATTAACTATATTTCTTTTCATTGTTGATTATTCTGGAAATACATTTATTTTTACTACAAAGCTTATATCAACTTACTTTGCCAGCTTGCAAAGTTAAAAAGTTTATACACATTATTTCTCCCAAGCCCATTCTCATATCAAGTTGAAACTTTGCACATTTATTCATAGGCATAGACAAGACATGAATCAATAAGAAATAATTAACCAATAAATTAATTAATAACTGGTAATTAGTTATGTGTTTGATACTAAAAAAGGAAATTGATCAATCAGTATTAACAGATATGGAAAAATATGTTAAGGTTTCATACCCCTAGATGCACACCTTATTTCTCCCACACTCATTCTCAGATCAAGTTGAAACTTTAAACAATTATTTATATTGTACCTAACAAAACATGAATAAATAAAAAAATGAATAAGTCAATTAATTATTGATAATTTAAGTATTTTCTTTCTTTATTGTATAAGGGAAATAACTTCATTACTGAGTGATATATTAAGTGCAGAGTTATTTCCCCCAGATAAGTTTGTTTTTTTTAAGTTGTGGTTTTATGATTTAATTTAAAGTATGTGTGAAACAGGGAATACAACAACTGCAGAAAGAAGAAAACAGTAAATATATATGTTGGGGAGTTTCACTCCCAATTGGACTTCATTAAGCAGCTAGTTCTACCTTATCCGGCTCAGCTTCATTTGTCATGTTGGCAGTCATAAAGACAGATTCTGTATGAGAATACACTAGAGCCTCAATAAAATCATTTTTGGAATAGATGTCCTCTCGCTGAAACAAGTTGACCAATTCCTGCTGGCTACGCACAGGAATGTAATCCATTTTCACAAATTTCTTGCATGGAATAATTTGAAGCTCTGCACTGACAAGAAAGCCAAGAGTTCCATGCGACCAGGGGACAGCATAAAATAAATCTGGATTCTCATCCTAAGAAAAGATAGAAAATAACATAAGGGTCAGTAATGTCCTAATATAAATAAATCTAAAAAATGATATTTTTTAAATTGGTAGAAGTGGCTACATGACAGTAAACTTCATCATTCTTACACTTTATTATTTATGTAATAAATAGCATCAACATTGTCACATTTGCGATAGTTAATAGGTCTTTTAGTTTATTACTGAATGCTTTATAATTTGGTGCAGGCAGCAAAGTGATACGTCTCCACCAATGTGAGCAATCATAACCCAAAATGAGAGAAAAACAAAGTCCTCCTTTATTATAGATTTTATTAATTGTGAGAGCTTATAATGTTTCATTGCTTTAGACACTTAAAACGAAAATCCTGCATAATCTACAATATGGTAATCTTGATAATGACCACTAATAATAATGATCATGAATTCTCCCTTTTGTGGTGGATGATAAATTGCAAAAATTTAACCTATTCTTATGGAACTGAAGCCTAGGAGAACTAAGCCATTTCAAGATTGAAATCACAGCTGTTAAATTTGCCAAAAAAAAAAAAAATGTTCTTATTATCTAATATGTGATTTCCTCCTTAAACAAGTTCAACCTTACAAGAATCATTACAGCAACATCTAGTTAATATACTTCTGCTCATCTATTCAAGATAACTTCATTGAAATTCCAAGAGAAAGGTTAGAAGCTAAAAGAAATACTTTTTTTTTTCGGTGACTGGTAATTTCATTCCCCAATTAAATATTTTTCTTTTTCATTGTTTAATTGTGCTGTTAAGGCTTTATACAGGCTAGCGCCACACTGAAGAAAGTCCAAGGAAGAAATAAGCAACACAG